CCCCTGATTTCATTCATGTAACATGATACAGAAAATCCTTTCTTACCAGTTGGATCTCATGCCCAGAAAACATGATACCATTCAGTTTTCCAATTGGAATACATCTTCACTACTATTTTCTACATCCAACACTGAGTCCTGCTTTTAGATGTGAAAAAAACTTTTTCCAGCTTCTAACATACATAGATTTCTCTAGAACAGAGCAGAACAATCAGCCTAAACAATACAATCAGGAACAGAAGTTGCAGTACACTCTTCATGTTAGAAGCAAAGCAACAACGGAATGGTTACCATTATTACTAGCACGCGACAAAATAAAATAAGCTGAAACTGAGCAGCAAATCTTCTACGTGTTATATACAATTCCGAGCAACAGAGGCACAAGTTAGAATGCAACTGAATCCTTATAATTCAGTCTGGTGAGCTTCTTTCTTCTGTTGGAGCTTGTGGTTGGCCCTCGGAAACAGCAGGTGATTGAGTTGCCTTTCAGCGCTATATTCAGAGGAGGCCTGCAAATACCAAGATATTCCAATAGAGAGATTATAATATTTTTAAAGGAAGAATCTTGTCAAGAGGCACCCAGCATTTTGTATTCATTTGAATGGCAATTTGGCGCAAGAATAACTTGATGGTCAAGAACATAAATGTGCTACTTCCAAAAAGGCATGAGAAGAAACTACGTTGGTAGCACGGGAAAAAGAAGGTAAAAGAAAGACAATGACCTAAAAAAATGATTCTAACTGTTTTCTTTTTCATACATGTTTCATGAGATTACACTGTAAAATGGTATGCTAAGGAGATCTAACAGAAGCATAACAAATTATTAACAACAATCCTATATGCATCCAAATAGCCCAACTGTGACACAAAGATTTATGATACTAAATAGTTTTTAATTCTTTTTATCCAAGCAATGGAAGCTGGTAGTATCTCAGTTCTTTATTCTTGCCATAGAGCACCATACAAAAGGGCCAATCACATGTGGGTAACATGACACCCAATCGCCAGAATAAACTTGTACAAAAGGCGCAATCAAGTTTGGACAAGCTAAATTATGCTGAAAGATACGAGGAAAAACAAAACAAGTATCCAAGGTAATTTACCAAAGATTAACATTATACCCTTTTGTTAAATGCAAATCGCAGTGTTTGAACTTGTGTTCCAGAGCAAACTCTCAAGTCAAAACCAAGGCTATCTACAACAATGAGAGCAACCTCCTGTACATATTGGATTAAAAACTCTTCTGAGAAGAATTCCAAAGAAAAAGAAACACGACAATGAGATAATTTGTCTTATTCAAATAAATCTCAACTTCGTGCAATAAGCAATTAAGTTAGTTTTGTAGCTGAGGTGAGAAATTGATACATGCATCTTTTCTGTTGCATAGAATTCATGACAACTTAAGCGGTCAACCGAGTAATTTATCTCTTTCAGGAAAACCACCAGTTAATTGTAAAATATCCTGGTCTTCCACAACTCTTTTGCTAATTGTGCACATACTTTTTCCTTTTTTTCATTTTATTTTTTGGGTCGGGGTGTTGTGTGGAGATAGCGAAGATGTTTTATCTGTTACCTCCACTTGAATACCCTTGCATCTCCAACAAAGTGATTTAAGAGCTTGTGTAGTCTTTTCTCCACCAGCTTTCAGACGAGTGATGATTTTGGCAGCCGAATGTGCAATTGCATCAGGTCTTGCTCTCCTAAAGTCTTCTATTTCAACAAAATTCTGTGAAATAAATGGAAAAATTACACATTCTTCTTATCTTAATCAGGAGGATCCTGAAGGCAGTTGACATGGTCTTGAGAAATGTATGTGCATGTCTTTCAAGAGTTAAGGCCAACATTCAAGTTGCCAGATACAAGTTTAATAAACCAAGCCCAGTGATTATTGGCTCCAAGGTAGATCAGACTGTGTCAACATCAAACAGAATACATGCAAATCCTTAGTCAAGAAAAAAAAATATAAGAACAAAAACTTACTTGGTGTCCATGCGCTGAAATTAGCTGGATTTTCACCATCTCTAGTTTGTAAAACGAAGTTCCATTTCCTGGAGTTTCATCACTCTCCAATTCCTCAACCCAATTGATCCCTTCCTGAGCTGATCCATGTTCATGTTTGTGACCATTAATTTGAATAATCTCATTTTCTTTATGCCCTTCCACTTTGGTAATCTGATCAGTATTATCCTCAATAATTTGATTGTCAGTAATGTGTTTCTGGATCACAGCATGTTCTTCAACAAATGCAGGTCTTAGAAGGCCTTGAATAGCAAGGCCAGCAGGTGGCTGGTCCATAAAATCTATGGGATCATCTGATGCAGCCTGGCAATGAGAACAGGATGACTTGAAACTACCATTTTATCAAATCAGAAGGAAATGAAATAGCTCATTTTTCAAATCTAATTCGTGAGACAAGTTACCTCAGATAACTTTTTAGCAAAATACATTGGATGAGAAGAGCGCATGGTCTCCAATTTAGCCCAGTCTCCAAGTGATCCATCAGAATCCTCATCCTGATCTTCCTCATTGTCAATTATGGCAACCCAGTCCTGTAGACAAGCATTGAAACTAAGAGTAATAGGCAGTCTAGCAACTGCTGACTTTGAAATGGTCAATGATTAAGGAAAAAATAAGTAGCTACCTTCTCATAACCGTTGTCATCCTCACGCTCGTCTTCACCATCTTCATCATCAACATCACTATCTTCATCGTCAAATTCATCAATGCCAAAGTCAATTTCTGATTGATCAAGTAACTCAATCTCACTGAGCATTTCTGCAGTGTCTAACCCAATAATGACTTGCTGCATCATGTGAAAGATGAATGGTTTCAAGTTTAGAAGCACCAGGGAAATAACGAAAGGACATTGTCATCCATGCATTTTAATGTCAGGAAGTTCCATCCCTCATCTAGATTTTCTTTTGACACAAAGAAAGTATGGTTGCTAGCATAGTAGCTACTGTCAACTTTACGAGATGGATTACAAACTTGTCTTGTATTCTGCAAGACAATCAGTATCCTCTCACTTTCTTAAATGATCTCCATACATCTAACAAATTTGAGTATCGTCTGAGGCATAACTTCAGCTCCACATTAATCTTGCATGATGCACAGGTATAGCCATTTAAATAATCATCATCTAGCATACACGCCATCTCCTCCACAAGTATCACTACTGAATAAAAACATACAAGTTGAGCAGAAATTAAATTGCATATCACGTCTACTAGAAGAAAGAGGCCTACTTATCTACATTACACACCACGAGGTTGTCATCGCTCGACAGAGTTTGCAGAATGTCTTCATCATGCTTTACTTGAAAGTAAATATCTGGTTAACAGCCAAGAGCGAGCCAACAAAGTTTCAATGAATCGACTAGGCTATCAAAGAAAAAGATAAACAGCTATGCATACTAGAATTGAAGAACAACAAGAGAAGAGATAGACCATCCTACTTCCATGCTCATCAGTCACGTAAGGCAAATCCGGCCAGAAAATATTCTCATGGACTTGTTCATTAACTAAACTCGAAAACATAAGGGTGGCTTTGCTGTTTACCTGTGACAAAATTCACCAGCAACATCAGCTGAGAACTTCCGCAAGTCCTCCCCATAAAAATGCATGTATCTATCGGCACCACTAGAAAGAATAAAGATGAAGGGGGTGTACCTCAATCAAGGTCCTAGTGGTTTCAGCTGGGGTAAGCCTAGCCTCCCCATTTGCATTCAGTTCTGACTCCGCAATTTCCTCAAACGGATGATATCTCAGGGGCTTGGCATTCTGTTTCACGGGCCCTGAACCAGAACCAGAACCAGAACAATTGGGCTTCTCTTTTGCGGACGCTCGAATCCCATTTCGTCTGGAGGCGCAGCTGCTTGAGTTTCCCCGGCATGAATGATTCCTCAATTTGCTGTACTTGTTCCTGCAAAACCCAAATTTGCACGGTAGTACAAGGATAAGATAAGGCGTGAAAAAGATTTGTGAAACTTGGAAGTACATAAATTTAATAAATTCTTTGCTTTCTTATACCGGGAGATGAAAAAGGTAGCCGAGTGAGGAAGGCAACGAGGAATGATGGGATCGAAGCTACGGCGGGAGAGAAGGACGGCCGCGGCGGGGGGTTCGAGCATCAGCATGTTTTTCGAGGCGGTAAAGAAATGAGTCAAAGAATTGAATTTGCCCAAACCAACCAATGGTATTAGAAAGCAGTCAATTTCAGTCAGCTAGCCGTAAATATTGGAGTCAGAAAGCAGAAATGCTACTCAAGAATAAAAGAAAGAAAGAAGAAAAATGGTGGTTGGGGAAGCGGAAATGCTTCATATTTTTCTGTAGAGATTGGGCCGCGGGAGTGTGGTTCTCTTTTTTATCCGTTTCAGGCCTCCCTCTTGTTTCTGTTATATGATGATGATGAAGATGATGATGATTGGGCAACGTACCGAACTTTATTATTATTATTATTATTTCCTTTCTCATTTAATTTAATCCAAAATAAACCCCAAGTAGCAGTTACTGTGTGAATTGTGTCCTTTCATATTTGTCCTTTCATATTTTTAACTTCTTAAAAAAAACTAATTTTTTTATCCAATTCTTTTAGTATCTTGCGGCCGTGATGTCACATTTTTTTTAAAAAAAAAAAAAAGTAAATATTACAATATTTTTTTAAAAAAAATTATCTCAAATAAGCTACTATTCAATAAACACATCGATTATTAATCCGTTAAGAATTGTCAAAACGGGGTGGGATGCAAAATGATGAATGATCTGGACAGAATAGGAACCCATCTGCAAAAAGATCTGGACCGAATAAGAAGAATATTCACAATAGATGCCCAGCCATATCCGCCATGGGAGAATGCCCAGTTGGCCAGTTTCATTTTAAGTTCAAAATTATCCACCATTTGAGATTCCATTCGTTGCTATTAGTTGCTACTGCCATTCTGCTGCATTGCGCCCCCACACACCAAAAAAATCCAAGAACAAAAAAAAAAAAAAAAAAAGGAAAGAGCAGACAAACTCTTCTCAGAGCAACAAGCACGAACACGAGTCCTAAAGAATTCATCAAATGTTGTTGTTCTCCATCTCTCAGCTAAACTCAACTACACCGAAGCTCTCATCAACAGACAACAGACAACATGGATGATTTGGTAAATTACACTACTAAAAGCAGCAGACAAAGGAGAGAAAGCAAAATCCCACATGCAACTAAATCTATCCAGCAAAAATTTTCAGTTCAATATCTTCTGTGAGGTTGACAACCAACATAATTCGTCGTTCTAGCATCATACTGTAATTAGGGAGGTGCTCCCCTTTGACCACATGCCATTGTATCACCTAAGAGATTGGAACTTCCAACTTTGCACTTTCTCATCTGTATTACCTGCCCTTCTTACGAGCAGGGCCTTTGTTGGACCCCTTCTTTTTATCCTCCTTGCCCTTTCCTACTGCAGGGCCTTTCACAAAGTTTTTTTTACTTGTGTTGGGTTTTTCATCTTCATCTTCACTGTACTCGCTCTCATAATCGTCATCTTTCTCTTCTTCAATCTCCTCTCCGTCTTCACTGAGATCCTCCGGAATGGGTTCTTCCTCCATCACTTGACCCCTTCGAGTCATAGTTCTGCTCCGTTTTGAGACTTTCACCTTCAAGCTCGTTGTCTTATCACAACCTATCCAGGAATCACAAAGCAAATAACAAGTCAAGTTGTAATTTCCTTCAGCTGGAGCTAGAAACTTGCCCATGATGAGTCGGGAACCACTCCTAACTCTATCAACAGCTTCTATCACTGCAGCACCAGTCTCATCGCCAGCTGCCCCCAGGACTTCCATTTTCTCCCGAACTGCTTCTGAAGCAGCAATTACTGCTGCAGCTTCATCCATAAAATTGACCTTCTGTGAAAACCACACACTATTGGCATTGGCATCTGCAAGCAAAAGCCAGAAATTTTCTTCCTTGTGGAATGGATAGGATGGGGCATGTGGGACGGCCTTGATCAAACCATTAGCACGTTTTAAAGTCACCCAAGCCTGTACCGTCACAATGTCACCTTCTTGTATACCCTCCTCACCCTCGGTCTCACAAGTAACTTCAACTGTTGGACAAGGCATCAACCCCAGCACCTTCTCCACATCTTGGATTTCAGCAGCAGAGAAGCCAGCTACCTCAGAAAGCAACTCAAGACGTTCTTGAAGACTCATTCCCTGAAGCTCCTGAAATCTTACCTTCTGCCATAAAATGAAGATCAAGGATCAAACAACATCAACCAATCCAGGAAATGTTGAGTTGCACACCAGAATTCCAAACTAACCCAATAATTGTGATTATGAGCAAAAGCAAGGATCACCACCAGAATTCCCAACTACCCCAATAATTGTAATAATGTGCAAAAGCAAGGAAGGATCATCATTAGGCCCCCCTCATTGGCACAGAAGTACATGCATGCCCAGTTAGCAAGAAATTCAGATATTCAGTTTCCAGGGAATTCTAGCATTCTCTCTTGAACTCATTTTCAAAGGTGAAACCACCAAAATGACCTGAAGCATCTCAAGAAACTAATTGCTGCAGGTTACCAATGAAACCAGGGACTGAAGTAACTCGGTACGTAAAGGTTCAGCATACCTTGCGAGCTAATTTTTCTGCAACTGCTTCACTGAAGTGTGGAAGTTGTAGAAAAGAAGCAATACCATCGGTGGATGAGACCTTCCTTGCACTAAGACGAACAGCCTGCATCAGATCCCATTGTATATAAATCAAGTTCACATACTATTCAGACATCTCCCTTCTTGAACTATTTACTATTTGAGAGAGTTGACAAGCTCTTTTGATGTTTAAAACATCAAAATTTGATACCACCTGATTAAACACATCACCTGAATAATGCACTGTGAAAGCTCCATAACTCCAGTGGCAGGTCTTAGCCACCCATGCCCCTTGGCATTTCGAGGTATAACAGCCATCTGCACACAGTATGTAAACAATCTATAAGATGTTATAAGCAGAATGGCACCTCATTTAAATGATTATGATGATCGACTTTGAGTATAGATACTTATCAGAAGAAGGAAAACATAAATTTTGGGTTAAACCTATAAAGCAATGTCTTTTCCTTTGCCAGCCTCGTTGCCCAAAATTTTAAAAAAGCAGGGTCAGTGATTTCATTACAAACATTTTGCAGTTGAAATTAGCATCAAGATATAGACATATGTGGAAGCGAGGTGTCTGTGTTTTTTACATGTATGTTTGTATGAATGCAGAGGCGGATAATGTACCTTCATCAGCTCTTCAAGAAGGCGAGGTGCCAATTGCAGCACAAAGTTGAGGTCACGCTGCAAATCTGGGGTCAATACTGTTTTTTCCCGAGTTAAATGGGCTTGCAACAACAGTGCTGTCTGAGACCATAAAAAGAGAAAAAAAGGCCCAAAATAAGAAAGTAGAAGTTGCGCATAATTTGAAAAATGACCATAGTAAAAGGGCTATATCATTCACTTCCATCTTTCATTACCTTAATTACTGCTGGGTGCTGCTTCCAAAATTTTGCCTCCTCCTGTTTCCCATTCTTTTGATCCAGGCTCAATTCATTTCTTACTATTGTAAAGAGTTTCTGAATTGGATCTTTGTCAGTCCTTCGGACTGGAAGACTCTTGTACTCCTCAGCCTCAATGAAGATGTCCACAACTTTCCTAAAAAATTTTTGCAGTGTAGAAGATAAAGATGTCAGAGAGACCATTCGTGTGTGCAAAAATAACAGTGTATAAACCAAGCAACAGAAACAACATTATCACAAAATGCCGAAGAGGTGGCTAAATTTTGCAATGCATGGTCCTGTTTGAAGAAAATATTCAGCAAATGAGATTAACAAGTACCATCTTCAAAAGTTAGGGACTACATCCTTTGCAGAAATTGAAACACTAAAATTCATAAAGATAAAAGTTTTTGCAAAGTCAACTTGTCAAAATGGGCAAGCAACAATAGTTAGAGATAGGTAATCCACTATATGACAGTGAACAAGGATTGCAAAGTATTCAATGCATTGGAACAAAATCCCCTCAAAAGCAATAACGAAGATAAAATGACTGAACAAATACCTGTATTGTTCATTTATATTTATCTTATTTAGAAACAAAGATCAAATAAAGTTGAAAGCACATATTTCCCATCCACTCAAAAGCAAAAATTATACCTCAAAGACAAAGATGGTTTCATCGACTCAAAATAGGTGACTAGTGTTTCACGTTTGACATAATTTCCAGTATATTTTGATGATCTTGCTAGATATACAACAGCCATCACCAATGGCAATAGTATTACAACCCCAACAATTGAAAGCAACAGAATCCCACCAGATTCGCCATTGTTATTTAGCAGAAACTGAGGAAGAGCTATCCCAATTTGGAATCCCTACAGCACAAGACCATTGTGTCACAATTCAAAGTGCCAAAAACAGAAGAGTTATAGCATTTTCAGCTGTAAGAGGCATTCCTAATTTTCTGATCCCTTCAGAATGCAACCAGATGAACAAGAACAGTAACTTGTGGAATAAAGTACAACGAACCTGTCTTCCATCTGGATGTCCATATTTCTCAAAATTTTCACGGGAAATAGGATCTGTCAGAGCCTGATAAGCCTTGGATATGTACTCAACAAAATACTTATGAGCATCTGGAAGTAAAAATCATAAAAATGACAGATACAATAAGTACAGCTTATGGATGAGAAATGCTCAAATCTTCATCATTCACTAGATAACACACGAAAAGTAAATAGACTGAACACCCTCAACCTGGATCGGGGTTTTTATCCGGATGATATTGAATTGAAAGCCTACGATAAGCCTTCTTAATCTGTGAGTCAGAAGCTCCGGGCTCTAGTCCAAGAATTCCAAATGGCTCAAAAACTTGAATCTGAGAGAGATAGGGCAACAACCAACAAAGATATGACATTTCGCTCTGGTACAGGGTACAATCACGTAGAGAAAGTATAGAGCTATCATAGAAAGTATTTGCACAACTATTCAGAACAAACTTTTTAAGAAATAGAGTTTGCATATCAACATGACTGAGACCTGATCATTAATTACCTCGCGGCTCATGTTCTTGATGTAGAAAACAAGGATTCCCATGAAGAACCAGAGCATAATTATCATCAAGTTATGGCATGTCAAGAAGTTTGATGTCTGCAGGGAAAAAAAATCAAAAGCATTACCAGTACTCAGAACGTGACCATATCCCTGACCAACATATCCATATAATAGCACATAACTAATCAACTGATGACTGGCGTACCTGACTAGAAATTGATTTGCGGTACTTTCCTGACCGGAAGCAGTCTGAACAGTCACAATGGATGCTCCTTGTTTTCTTTGAGGCAGGACGGAATAACTTCAGTATTGTATAAGGTACCAAAGGCAGGGCAATCGTGGCCAATATGAAAATCGGAAACAGTGCACCAGTTTCATCAGAGGCTGCCATAGTTAACTTTGTACCGTCTCTACAATGAAAAATAAGCAGTGCAGCTGACTTAAAGTGGCAAAAGTAAGCAAAAATTGAAAACATGCCAGTAAAACCTTAAGAAAAAGACAAAAAATACAAAATCGCTCAAGGAACCTTTTTGAACACTGGGTCCCCGTAACTAAGAAATGCGAAGTTCTTCCAAATGCAGTCAATTAAATAACAAGGAAAACGGCAAGTTCAGTGGTAGACATGGCTGCAATCCTAAATATGACTCAGAATTTACACACCCAATCAAGGAAAGTTACTGCAGTGAACCATGAGAAAGAACTTGCTGAACCCAAACGAACAAATCAGGGGCGAAATCAATGCAACATAGCAATCATAAGCTTCTGTAAAACCCATAAAAGAGACAAACTTTACACGTCAATCAGGATCACGGGCATGATTTATTTTGACCTATAGAGATCATTGCCAGCCTCGAAAACAATGGGAAAAAGAAGATGAAATGAGAGATGGTCAACGCGATTTGTTTCAGAAGCTAGTCAATTCGATAAGTTGATACAAGAACAAACGGGTATACGAGTTATCAAGAAAACCAGAGCAGGTTGAATTACCAACAACAAACTGGGAGCGGCTATGGGAAGATCCGATTTTCTGCACCAATCTGACGTTGCCGTGTGGGCGCTTGCGGGGGTTTTGTCAGTACTCAGTTGTACTCGATGGAGGCAAACGACAATGGTGGTTCTCTTTCGTTTCGCAAGTACTGCTACTCTGCAATTCTGCTTTGCCCCCTTCAATTTTCCTTCGCCATTCTACTCATTGTCAAAGCTGTCAACCCCATAACGTAATACTACTATCATCTTCGATAGCATTTATTGCCATTTACCACTTATCAGGTAAACGGGAACTAACGTCTATTACCAATTCTCCTCAATTTTTGGTAGGTTACCCGGTTAGTGTCAGCACTCTTCAGGGACTCGGCCGTTGGCTCTAAGAGTTAAGATCCGTCCTATTTGTCTTGGGTAAATGGCCAATACATTCCTAAACTTTTTACTAATGTCAATGTGGATTTGTTTCCTATTTTTTATTCTTAACCATTTGATATGTCAACTTATTTTCCGAATTTAATTAAGACACTCTGCAGCGACTCCTATTTTGGATTCCTCTCTCTATCATTCTTCGTTGCCGCTACCAAACTCCTCCTACTTTCAAAATCAAAGAAGAAGAAGAAGAAGAAGGCGTTAGATGGGGGGCCATAGAGATTAATGGTGGACAGAGGAGATAATTTAATGCTCTCAAAATGGCCTCTGCTTAATTGTTACATTATGAGTCAAAATACTTTTAGGTGGTGGTGTCACCACAGAAGAAGGTCTTAATTAGATAAAAAAAAAAAAAAACTCAAGTATCAAATTGGTTTGAAATAAAAGTTATGGACTAAATCAACATTAGTAAAAAAATTTAGGGATGATTATGACCATTTATCCTATTTGTCTCCTACTAGTGTTTTTTATGCTTCTTTATGTATTTTGAATTGAATAACATAAACTAGAAAGGAAATAAAAGAAAAAAATATGCAGTAATAATTGTGTCAAAGCACAAATCCTAATAAGTTGTGAGAATAGGAAGGAAAATAAGTTATTTAGCATAGAGAAAATAATAAAAAAAGACAATTAAAATTATACATGATTATAGCCACTACTTATAGTAAAACGATTATCATCATAGTTCTCAAACCTTCGACTTTGAAATTATATTTAAACACTTGTTGGTCTTGGACTGAAATCAATTATTTGATCTAGGTTTACTAATGGAACGGAACAATGAGTTGTGGACCAGAATTGGGGCTACTAGTATTGGGTGTTTATATATTGAATTCTAAATTGGCCAAATAGATTTAAATAGCAAGTATTTTTTTAAAATGGTTTGACTTGGTTCTAAACTCTCGACACCCTCGGTTGAGATAGTCACGACGATTATGATTCCAATTTTGGAAAAATTTCCAAAATTTGGTTTTGAGTCCCTTCACAAACAACCCGTCCAAATTCCATTCGATTCTGGTTCAAACCCAAACCGTGACCACCTTTTTTTTTTTTTTTAAATATTATTCCCATATTGATATCAAACCGTGACCACCTTAGTTAAATACTAGTGTGTAAATTCTAGATCTGTGTCTTAATTTGAGCGATTTGCATACTGTAATGGGCAAATCCGCGTGTGACACGTGTTAGATCGGCACGCTGCGCACAGCAGGTCGGCAGTAGATACCTCGAGGCTGGCACGGGCCAGCTCGGCATGAGGGGTCCAGCTCGGCCGTATCAGTGGCCTCCTACGATGGGCCTGATGGGCCGCCGCCTCCGAACATTTAGGGGCCGCCGCGCTAAACCCTAAGAAGACTCCGAACCCTAAGGGGACTTTGACTCCCATAAGGAAACTACAATTTATCAAGACTATGTAAGGTACGCTCACATAAGTATTCTCCACTACTACCCTATTCTGGAGCTCTACTGACTTGGCCGTCGGAGTTATTCCGGGGACTATCGTCCCGTCTTCGTTTTCCCTTTTCAGGACCCATATCTCGATCCCGTCAGGTCGACCACGCGTGGGCAGCTCGGTTCATTACAGTTCAGCTCGGATATAGTTTTTGGCAGTCGCATCAATTGGCGCCGTCTGTGGGAAACACGTTACACTTCATTGCGAGTCATGCCGAAGACTAGGTCGCAGAGGAACGCTGGCGGGTCTAAGGGGACCGAGCGTAGTGGCCCCCAAAACCCCTCTCGGGGTCCAGCACCAGGAGAAGGAGGGGCAGGGCCCTCACGAATCCCGCCTGAACAACTGGTTCAGACGGTGGCAGAGAACCTGCCCACCTTCGAGGCGATCGTGAGCTACCTCAAAGGGCAGTCGGAAGGTCATCAGGACAAGGAGCCAAAGGTTCAGGGAGCAGATCAGTTAGAATCTCGAACTGGGAGTCCCACCAAAACTGGGGCCAAGCGGGCGCGCCGGGAAGTCACGCGTGAGCAAGTCGAGGTCGTAGAACCTTCTCACAAGAACTCCCGAACTGAACACCCGGAGCCCGTCCGGAGGTTCCCCAGGGGAGACCTCTCTCCCCGGAAAGAACGACAACAGGTGCAGGACGAACTGGACCTACTTCTGGACCCTGAGGCGGACAGGTACATCGCTTCCCCCTTTGTGCTCGATATCGAGGAATACCAACTGCCTGCGAAGTTCAAAATTTCAAACATGAAACCTTACGACGCAACCACGGATCCGGAAGACCACCTGTTCGTGTTCATGACGCAAATGCGTTTACAGACAGTCGCGGATGCGGTCAGGTGCAAGACCTTCCCAATGTTCCTAGAAGGAAGGGCCCGGCAGTGGTTCCAGGGGCTTCCCCCTAGATCGATCAGTTCTTTTAACCAGCTCGCACGACAGTTCTCAGCACAGTTCGTTTCTTCACGAGCCTACTCTAAAAGTACCGCTCACCTCATGACTATCCAACAGAAGCCAGAAGAGTCCTTGCGCGAGTACATGGTGCGCTTCAATAACGAGTCCCTTCAGGTTCGAGATCGCGACGACAATGTGGTCATGGCCGCCTTCATCAATGGGCTGCGCAAGCAAAAGTTTTACACCGAGCTCGTGGAGAGGCCTCCCAAGTCAGTTCGGGAAATGCTAGACCGAGCCCATGAGAAGGCCAACGCGGAGGAAGCCAACCGCCTTAAGAGTGCACAAGAAAGGCTGAGGGATGACAAGCGCAGGAGGGGCGCCGACCAGGTGGATGCACGACCTGGCCTGGGAAGGAAGAGCGCTTATGACCGCCTTCCCCGGAGCCGCCCAATGGGGGGAGACAAGTCCTAGACTGGCCTCACGGCACCCCGAGCTCGAGTGCTCGCGGTGATGGAGCAGGAGGGGCTCTCCCGACCTCCTCGGCCTTTGGCCGGGGACAAAAGCAGACGGGACCAAGGTCTGTATTGCGCTTACCATCGAGATGTGGGGCACGATACGGAGGACTGCCGTCATCTCAAGAAAGACATTGAGAAATTGATCAAACGAGGCCATCTTGGGCAGTTCGTACGGGAGGAACGAGCTGACCAGCAACGAGGAAGGCCCAGGTCGGAACGTCCGGGCTACCCCCGGGACCGGTCTCAGGGGCCTCGCGACCGAACTCCCGAGCAGGAAATACAGAACCTGGCGGGGGTGATTAACACTATTGCTGGAGGACCTGCTGGCGGAGATAGCCATACAGCTCGGCGGCACAATCGCCCCCCTCCCACGGGGGAGAGTTCGGCCAAGCGATTGAAGATATATGAAGAAATAATCTATGGACCAGAGGACGCGGTCCCTTTGGCCTCCAATAACCATGAAGCCATTGTGATAGAGGTCATCACCTGTAATTTCAAGGTGAAGAAGGTGTACATAGACAACGGAAGTGCCATAGACGTGCTGTATTACAAGACCTTTAAGGAGCTGCAGCTGGAGGATAAGCAGCTCGTGCCGGTTCGAACCCCGTTGATCGGTTTTGCAGGTCCTCCTGTAAGACCGGAAGGGATGATTACTCTCATGGTTATGGTGGGGGTGTCCCCGAAGTGCCGAACTGTCCCGGTAAACTTCGCGGTGGTTAAGGAGCCGTCGTCCTACAATATGATTATTGGACGACCCACGCTGAATGCCCTCCGAGCTATTTGCTCCACCTTGCACCTCAGTATGAAGTTTCCTACCTCTGCTGGGGTGGCTGAGGTGCTGGGAGATCCGGAGGTGGCGAGAGCGTGTTATATTGCCACCCTCAAGGGCAAAGAGAAATTGGTAGCTCAGACAATTTGTCTAGAATCCTGGGAACCCCTGGAGAAGGGGGAAAGATTGGAGACAGACGAGGGGTTGGCCGAGCTGCCCGTCCAATCCGGCCGGCCCGAGCGCACAGTAAAGGTCGGCACCGGTCTGGGTGAGCTGATCAGGAGTTCTTTGGAATCGCTCTTGGTGGAATACGCAGAGATTTTTGCTTAGAGTGCTGATGACATGCCCGGGATCCCCACCGAGCTGGCGGTTCATAGACTACATGTGGACCCTAACGTCCGGCCTGTGAAGCAGAAGAAGAGGAATTTCGCTCCTGAGCGAAAGGAGGTCGTCAAGAGCGAGGTGGGTAAATTGTTGGAGGCTGAGATCGTTAAGGAAGTCTACTATCCTATCTGGCTAGCCAACCCGGTGCTGGTCAAGAAGGAGGAGAAAGTTTGGAGGATGTGTGTGGATTTCACTGACTTAAATAAGGCTTGCCCGAAGGACTGTTACCCACTTCCACGGATAGATCAGCTCGTAGACTCAACAGCCGGCTATGAGATCTTCTGTTTTTTGGACGCCTTCAAGGGGTACAATCAGATAGCCCTGGACGAGGGGATCAGGAGAAGACCTCGTTCATCACAGATGACGGAACATACTGTTACGTTACCATGCCATTCGGGCTGAAGAATGCGGGCGCAACCTACCAGAGGTTGGTAAACAAGCTGTTCACAAATCAGATCGGCCGGAACCTGGAGGTTTATGTGGATGATATGTTAGTGAAAAGCCGAACCCAGGAGCAGTTCATCTCCGACCTGAGGGAAATTTTCGAGGTTCTTCGGAGCTCGCGAATGCGGCTAAACCCCAAGAAGTGTACTTTTGGGGTCAGGTTGGGAAAGTTCCTGGGCTACATGATCTCTAAAGAATGGGTAAGAGCTAATCCGGACAATATCAAAGCCATCATGGACATGGCTCCACCCCGAACTATCAAGGAGGTACAACGTCTGACAGGGAGGATGGCGGCCTTGAACAGGTTCCTGTCCAAATCGGCAGTTCGGGGGTCGCCTTTCTTCAAGTCCCTGAAGGGAGGTTGACAGTTCGAGTGGAGTCTGGAGTGCCAGAGGGCGTTCGATGAGCTGAAAGCCCACCTCGCTCGGTTGCCAGCTCTGACCTCTCCCGAGATGGGGGAAACCCTGTTCATCTACTTAGCTGCAGGAGAGGGGGCCATTAGCGCAGTGCTGGTACGAGAGGAGAACAAAGTGCAGAAACCTGTGTATTATGTCAGCCGCGCCCTGCAGGGGGCCGAGGCAAGGTATTCGGCGGTAGAGCGATATGTTTTGGCATTAGTACACGCAGCTCGAAAGCTCAGGACGTACTTCCAAACTCACCCCGTAGTAGTTATGACGGACCAGCCCCTGAAGCAGATCCTTTCCAAACCCGAGTCCTCGGGTCGGATGGTGAAATGGGCTGTGGAATTGTCGGAGT